GCTACCAGAGCTGATTACTACAGTAGTGACTGTAAACTAAAGATTACACTTTAAATAGTCCCTATTAACCCCTATTTTTAAAAAGGTGTGCCAAACAAAATATGCTAAAGGTCAAAGCATTCAAATTCACTACCATCTAACTGATTCCAACTCATATGTACCCTATATGGTGTTTCTGAGACTGGAAGCCTTTACAAGAACAGAAAGTCTCTCATCTTTGTCCTGTGAAGTGGCTGGTAGGCTTGAACTGCCAACCTTAGGGTTAGCAGCCCAGTGCTTATCCAACAGCACCACCAGGCTAAACTATATATTATCCACTGTTGTTGTTGTTGTTAAGTGCCATTCAGTCAGTTCCTACTCATAGTGACCCTATATAGGATTTCTGTGGAGCGGCTAGTGAGTTTGAACTGCCAACCTTACAGCTCAAATCAACCTTGTAATCCAGTGCTTATCCTATAGTGCCACACCAGAACTCCACATTATCCTACAGTAAAAGCATATAACATATAATAAATAGACTTACCTTTATTCCCTAAGGCCAGAATTTGTAGCCTATAGTATTCAATTTATATTTCCCATTGGGTGTTTTTAGTTCTTTTCTTTTATCTCTTTAGTTAGCAGGGCATCAAATCAGAATGAACCAGTTTGAAGTACAGAAGCTAAGAATTTTTATTTCCCCCTAGATATACTGAATCTGAATCTACATTTTAACAACATTCCCAGGTTATTCTTATGTAATAGAATGCAAATTCTCAGCAGGGAGTCAAACTGGAATGAACTGGTTTAAAGCCCTGGTTAGCACTGAGTCAAAATCAACAATCCAACCAAAAGATTATGGTAATTAATTCATGTACAAAACTAATTATAATGGAAGAACTATCTGTTCATTCTATTTATTAATGACTTCTTGTTGTTGTTGTTAGATGCCATCTAGTAGGGTACCAACTCATAGCAGACTTAGGCACAACAGAACAAAACACTGCCTAATCCTGGGCCAACCTCACTATTGTTGCCATGCTTGAGTCCATTGATGCTGCCACTTTGCCAATATATCTCACTGGGGATCTTCCTCTTTTTTTCTGACCCTCCACCTTACCAAACATGATATCCTTCTCCAGCAACTGGTCCCTCTGACAATATGCATTAATGATTTAAGAGGATTAAAAATTCTCTAAAAATAAGTAACTCTCTAGATATAAATGGTAATTTTAAGTCACTATTATGTATGGTAAACTACCAGCTGCTCTGCGGGAGAAAGATGAGGCTTTCTACTCCCGTAAGGATTAACACCCTTGGAAACCCTGTACAGGGTCGCTATGGGTCAGAACCGACTCGACGGCACTTAACAACAACAACAACAACAATTATATATGGTACTGTAGTACAGCACTGCAATGTCAGTTTGAACCACAAGGTTGGTGGTTTGGTGGTTCAATGTCACCAGCCACTCCTCAGAACCTCTATACAGGGTCACTGTGGGTTAAATGTGGGATGACATCAAGTACATCATACAGAAAGAAAACAAAGGGTCATTCAGAATACAACACAGAAAGAAAATACCAAAATGGATGTCAGAAGAGACTCTGAAACTTGCTCTCCAGCATACAGATGCTAGAGTAACTGGAAGAAATGAGGAGGTAAAAGAACTGAACAGAAAATTTCAAAAAAGCAGCTTGAGAAGACAAAGTTAAATATTATAATTAAACGTGCAAAGACGTGGAGTAAGAAAACCAAAAGGAAATAATACACTCAGCACTTCTCAGGCTGAGGGAACTGAAGAAAAAACTCAAACCTTGACTTGAAACATTGATGGATTCGACAAGCAATATATTGAATGATGCCAAAAGCATCAAACGAAGATGGAAGGAATTATACATAGAGTCACTGTACCAAAAACAAATGGTTGAGTTCAACCATTTCAAGAAGTAGCATATGATCAAAAGCCAATGATACTGAAGCAAGGCATTCAAGGTGCATTGAAGGCATTGGCAAAGAACAAGGTACAGGGAATAGACGGAATATAAATCGAAACCTTTCAACAAACTGATGCAGCACTGTAGGCACTCACTCATCTATGCCAAGAAATTTGGGAGACAACTACCTGGACAACTGGCTGAAGATATTCATGTTTGTGTCCATTCCAAAGAGAGGTGACCCAATAGAATGTGGAAATCATCGGACAATATCATTGATATCACATGCAAGCACAATTTTGCTAAAGATAATACAAAAACAGCGGCAACCATACATTGACAAGGAACTTCCAGAGGATCAAGCTAGATTCAGAAGAAGATGTGTGTGGCAGAGTTGTATTCTTTCACCATACTTATTCAATCTGTATGCTGAGCACATAATCCAAGAAGCAGGATTATATCAAGAAAAGGGTGGCATCAGTATTGGAGGAAAACTCATTAACAATCTGTGGTATGCAAATGATATAGAGTTCCTTGCTTAAAGCAAAGAAAACTTAATATGCTTGGTGATGAAGATCAAAGACCACAGCTTTTGGTATGGGTTGCACCTCAATGTAAGGAAAACAAAAATCCTCACCATTAGACTAATAAACAACATCTATATAAATGAGAAAAGATTAAAGTTGTCAAAGACTTCATTTTGCTTGGATCAAGTATCAACACTCAAGGAAACAGCAGTCAAGAAGTCAAACAACGTATTGCATTGGCCAAATCTGCTACAAGAGACCTCTTTAAATTGTTCAAGAGCAAAAATGTCAGTTTGAAGACTAATGTACACCCCAGATCCAAGCCATGGTATTATCAATAACTTCATGTGCATGTGACAATTGGACAGTGAATAAGGAAGGTCACAGAAAAATTGATGCATTTGAGTTATGGTGTTGGAAGAGAATAATAAAAGTACCATGGACTGCCAAAAGAACAAACCATTCTGTGTTGTAATAAGTACTGCCCAAATGCTCATTAGAAGCCAGGATTGTCACACTTTGTCTCTCATACCTCAGACATATTATCAGGAGAGACCAGTCCCTGAGAAGGGTATCATGTTTGATGCAGTGGAGGGTCAGAGAAAGAGGGGAAGGCTCCCAAAAAGATGAACTGGCACGGTGGCAACAGCAGTAGACTTAAATGTAGCAACGGTTGTGAGGTTGACACAGGACTGAGCAGTGTTTCATTCTGTTGTGCTTAGGATCACTAGGAGTCAGAGCCTACTTTATGGCACCAGCCAACAACAACAACGTGAGATGGACCTGACTCTATAGCACTTAACAACAACGATATTATGTTATTGGAAGTGCTATGGTTCTGTAGAATAAGCACTGCACTGCTATCTACAAGGTCAGCAGTTCAAGTCCACCAGTTGTCCCCAGAAGATAGATGAGGCTTTCTGCTCCTATTAAGATTTACAGTCTCTGGCTTACAAGCTTTCAAGAGGGAGCCTAGATCCAGGGGGCACGGAGGAAGGTAGAATCTCCACAGAGTAGTATTCAATCTGTCTGGGCGGGACGGATGAATTATTCACTATTGTACCACTCATGTGGTACAATAGTGAATAATTACTATCAGGACTGACTGTGAGGGTTGGAAATGTAAAGGTAGACATTTTGTAGCAAAAGGAGGGGCATGGTTGACTTTGCAGTTCAGGAGCACAGGGCCATGGAGCCATCAAGGGAAAAGAGCAGAGTTCAGGACCTTACCTAGAGAGCCAGTGACACCAGAGATGGAGGCAGTGACGATGATGTGGAGAGATGGAGCAGCTGGGAACTCTAGACTCAGAGCGGGAGAGGGGCTGTGTGCTGACGACCGGGGGGCAGGCTTGTGGGGTGTACCATTTGGTTGGTTGAGGATGCATGGAGGGGATTGTAACCATGGCAATGTAATGATATACAACAGGATGAATGTAAAGCTGATGTTCTCCCATGTAAACTATCACATAATTCACAATAAAACATTTTTTAAAAAAGATTTACAGTCTCAGAAACCTCATGCATTGTTACTATGCATCAGAACCAACTCCACAGTATTTAACAACAATTACATTATCAGAGGGAGAAATGGAAACCCACCTCCTGGTACACTGTACCAAGCACCACCATTGGTTGTCCCATCTACAAAGCTGCTGTCATCATCATTCTTGCGGCATGGAGGTCGATTGGGGTCAGACATCGCTGGGTTAAAAGATGAGTATGCTCGAGCCAAGCTTTGGAAAACAACATCATCTGGGCAGGAGCTGTATTCATGAGCACTACCTAGAAAATAAATTCACCAAGATTAAAGAAATAGACCAAAAAGCACTGTATGTTTTCTGAATCATGATTCCGTTTTTAGCTCTTGTTTATATATTTCTTATCTGTATCATTATGGGACAGGGATTAAGATTTAAGTATCAACGACTTGAAATAACTGCCATTCCTAATGGAAGTGGAAATTAGGTAGAATACACATTCCACTTATGAATTTAAAGATTCACAAGAAGAGATGGTAAGCTGTGTACATCAGATCTGGAGAAACAGCATGGCGTTTCCTGCTGTAAAACTTTCTAATTAAGATAATGCACTTATACCATCCTCATAGCCACTACACACTGCTCTCATACTTACCAGTTTGTGCTTCTAGAACATTCTTTAAAGCTTCTATGAGTGTTTCGAAAATAAATCATACACATTTTTGCTGTATTCTTACCCAGAGATAATAAATATGTAAGAACTTTACATTTTCCGGCTATCAATAAAAATCCCACTTAAAAACTATGATTAAAAAAAAAAAATCTCTAAATGTATTTAACAATGATTTCACCAAAGACTTTGTTTCAAAACTCAGTTTTCAATAATATCTAAAATTATCATCCTTTTGTTTACAAAGATCTGAGTCTTCCAAAACCCCTGAGAATGGATCCAAAGCAGGAGGTTTCTTAAAGCAACAAAAAGTAAGTTGAAAACTTACATCTGGTTAAAAACTCTCGTCTGCTTTGCCTGACCTTAATTAAAACATTAGAGAAGTCAAGCGCTCCTCCCCTTGCATGGTGCCCCAGAAAAGGTTTCAATTGCAAACACACATGTAGAGATCCAAGCAGACCTGGGTCGAGCACCAAAATGCTGCCTCCATTTTAATCCACTTTGCAAACCACCAATCATTTTCGTAGTCTGTCCAGTTACCAGGGCCCAGGAATTACCCATGTTTATGACCTCTTTTTACTCTTTCTCTTATCTATTAGTGGCCTACATAAATATTCTGTTAAAATTATGCTTCCCTTCAACTAAGCATATGAAAAATTTACAGCCTTTTTCTGTCAAATAGATATTCTAATGCCATATAAAAGAGATTTTACTGTTAAATATACATGTTTCTACAGGAAGTATTACTTAGTGACCAAATTTCTTTCAAGAAGGAAGACAGAAATCATTCTATAAGTCCTTGCATAATACCTGTAAACTAGAGCCAATCACAGGGCAGGAAGAACACCTACCAGTCCGTGTCTCATCATATGGATAATTGGCAACAAGGTCTCCTCCATGGAGATTGGCAGAGAGAGCAAAAGGAATATCCATAATCCAGTGAATGACAGCCTTGGTCTCAGGAGCCAGCTATATTAAAGATGAGAGATTAAAAGGAGCATATGCTTTATAATCACTTTAAAAGACAAAAAAGGCATAGGAATGGTAAACCAAACAAACAAAACACCAGACAGTGGTCAGATTTTTTGTGGTCTGCCATTTTTTTTCTGTGACTTGGAAACCAGCATGCAAATAAATCGCTTACAAATTTAGGGACATCTCCAGATATTTCGTGGTTTACATATCTTTGTTAATAACAGATGAAGAGAAGAGAAGAGAAGAAAATAGTTAAAGCACAGAACAGGATTTTTCCTGTATAGTGGTTCAACATTGTTCTAGAAACATGTGGCAGATTTCCTCCCTGGTTCTGCTTACTATTTCTCCAAGTTTCTTCAGCTACTCACTTCAAACATTATCTGATGAAAGAATATTAGACTGGGTTTAAGATTTGTCTATAAAATATCAATTTACTTTAGGATAACCATATTAAGTTTTAAAATAAAGCAAAACTTTAAGGAATTCATGTTAAGTCTTTTGAATGATTCATAACCTCTCATATTTTGGAAGTAAAACAAAGGAGAAAAGAATTATCTGGAGCCAAAACCTTGATACTTTATATCATGAGTTTTTAAAAGTAACTAGTAAGACTCCCAAGTATCTCTTTTACTGGAGATCAGATCCTTGCTTTTTTTTTTTTTTTTACAGAAAATCTAGTACAACGAGGAGGAGTTGATGGTTATAATAAGATCTTGAATTTGTACATTTCTATTCAATTTATGATTAACTATTTATGTGTACTATATTACATGTACTATTTTATCAAACTTCACATTCCCATTCTATATGATAATTTTAGATATCTTTCATAGGGAAGAATCCACAAATCAGGTAAACATGTACAAATTCACATTCAAGATTTAAATTCAATCTATGAAATCATTAAGCTCATGTTAGTTTTAGTACATTAGCTTTACTAATATCTATTAATTCTTATTTTTCATTTGTACTACTCATAATTGTATAAAAGTATGATTTACAATAGAGCTTTTTTTTATTATTTGGTTGATTGATTTGATTCTCATTACCAAAATAAAAACACCACACCACTCATCTGTCAGTTTGTCTTACTATGGTGGCTTATGTGTTGCTGTGATGTTGGAAGCTATGCCACTGGTATTTTAAATAAAAGCAGGGTATTTAAAATACTCTGGTGGACAGGTTTCAGTGGAGCGAGCTTCCAGACTAAGACAGACTAGGAAGAAAATGACACTCAGATGACTTCTGACTGGCTAGCCACTGAAAATCTTATGACTAACAGTGGGACATTTTCAGGATCGGGCAGTGTTTCATTCTGTTGTGCATAGGGTCGCTATGAGTTGGTACCGACTCGATGGCACCTAACAACAACCACAAAGCAATAAGGTAGGGAGGGGACTCATCTTCCAATACTCTATTCTGTGATACTATTCTGTTGGGATCCATAGGGTTTTCTTCAGCTAATTTTGAGCAGTATATTACCAGGCCTCTCTTCCTACATTGTCTTAGTCTGGAAATTCCACTGAAAACCTGTCTACTATGGGTGACCCCCATTGATAACTGAAATGCCAAAGGTATCTTGCAAACAGTTAGGCCTTTGCCTATGAACTGACAACTTGGCAGTTTGAACCCCCTAGAAGCACCTCAGAAGAGAGACCTGGTGATCTGCTTCTGAAAGGTTACAGCCTTGAAAACTCTATGGAGTAGTGTACTCTGCCCACATGGGGCCACCCTCAGTCAAGAGTGATTGTACAGCAATTAAAAACAGCAACAAGCTTCCAGTGCCACAGCACAGTGCAAGCCACAAGGGACACCAAACTGACAGACAGGCTGAGGTGACGCTATATATAAGATTTAGTCTATTGTTAGTTTTCATACATTAATGCTAATACACATGTCACTAGTATGTTTGAAAATAAGCAAATAAATTCTGTAATTTGATAAATTAATTCAATTTTTCTCTTTATTAGTCTTTTAGGCTAACTAGATTCTGAAGTACTATAATTACACATTTAAATATCCTTAGAGAAGACTCTTGATGCTCTAGGATAGCACTGGACTGCTAATCACAAGGCTGGTAGCTCAAACCCACCAGTCACTCTTTGGAAACTCTATACGGGGTCTTGATGAGTTGGAACTGATTCAACAGTACTTAACAACAAGAATCTATAGCTAATGTGACCTATCTGTAAAACTTCTATTTAAAGACTATGTTGTTGTTGTTGTTATGTGCCGTGGAGTCAGTTCCGACTCATAGCGACACTACAGAGTTTCCAGGCTGTAAATCTTTACGGGAGCAGAAAGCCTCATTTTTCTCCCACGGAACAGCTGGTAGTGTCGAACTGCTGACCCTGAGGTTAGCAGCCCGATTTGTAACCACTACGCTACCAGAACTCCTTTTTTTAAAAGACTATACATGTGTTGTTAAGTGCCGTGGAGTCGGTTCCTACCCATGGCGACCCTGTACAGGGTTTCCGAGGCTGTAAATCTTTACGGGAGCAGAACGCCTCATCTTTCTCCCGTGGAGCAGCTGGTAGTTTCGAACTGCTGGCCTTAAGGTTCACAGCCTGATTCGTAACCACTACGCTACCAGAGCTCCTTACATACAGCTAAATTTTATGCTTTATAATAAGATGTCTTTGGCTCTCAAAATATCTATATTTATTTAAAAGCTGTGTTTATTTAACTTTCTTCACAATTCTAGTTGTTATAAACAAGAATAAATTTAATATAATTACTTCTATTAATTTTAATCTACTCTGCTTTCAAGTAATCATCCCAAGCCTCCTATATTGAGCCCAGATATGAAGATTGTGTGCCATAATGGCTAGCCTACAATTTTATGTACCACCATGACTAAGCTACAGTTCTCAGTGGTCGGGCTAGGTAACTGGATTGATTGTTGCTCCATAATGCAATGTAATGTTGTATAATTACACTCCATCCAATAGCTTCATATGCATGTAAAGTTGGACAATGAATAAGGTAGACCAGGAATGAATTGATGCATTTGAGTTATGGTGTTGGAGAAGAATATTAAAAGTACCATGGACTTCTAGATGAACAAAGACAATCTATAAGTATAACCAGAATGCTCCTTGGAAACCAAGATGGTAAGACTTTGTCTCTCATACTTCAGACATATTATCAGGAGGGACCAGTCCCTGGAGAAAGACAAAGTGGAGGTAAAGTGGAGGGTCAACAACAAAAAAAGGAAGACCCCCAACAAGATAGACTGGCACAATGGCAGCAGCAATGAACTAACGCTTAACAACAATTGTGAGGATGGCACAGGTCTAGACAGTGTTTTGTTCTGTCATGCATAAGGTCACTATGAGTTGGAATCAACTCGATGGCACCTAACACACATATAATGATGTGATCTGATGTGATCAATTAAGCAGTTAAAAGAGGAGTTTCCTTAGGGGAATATAGTTTCTTATATTCCTCCAGAATATATATGCTTAATAGTATTAATAAAATGCATATTATATGCCTCAGAGGGGAGTGCAGTATCTATAGGACAAACACCAGACTACAAACCACAAGGTCAGTGGTTCAAGACCATCAGCTGCTCCATGGGAGAAAGATAAGGCTTTCTGTTCCTGAAAAGATACACAGCCTGTACAGGATGGCTATGAGTTGGAACCAACTGGGTGGTACTTAACAACAACAACAACAAATACTCCTCCTAAAGGAGCTTTGGTGGTGGGGTGAGTTATGCAGTGGGCTGCTAACAGCAAGGCCAGCAGATCAAATCCACCAGCTGCTCCACAGGAGAAAGATGGGACTTTCTGCTCCCATAAAGATTTACAGCCACAAAAGCCCTATATGGGATCACTATGAGTCAGAATTAACTCACAGAACACAACCACCACCACCACCATGTGCCTATACAGAGTCCTGATAGGGCAGTGGATTAAGCTTTGGACTAGTAAATGTAACCAGTCACTCCTCAGAGAAAGATGAGACAATTATAGCCCTGGAAACCCTATGGAGCATTTCTACTCTTTCTTATGATGGTGGTGGTGGTTGTGTGCCACTGACTCGGTTCTAACTCACAGCGACCCTGTATAGGGTTTCCAAAAGATTCATCATTCTCCCTTGAAGAGACTTGTAGATTCCAATACTGACCCTGTGGTTAGCAGCTCAGGTCGTAATCCACTGTACACCAGGGCGCTTTACTCTTTCCTATGGTGGTGGTTATGTGATTGATTCAACTGCAGTAGGTTTGGTTTGGAGTCAGTACATGCCTCGTACCAGGCTAGGTCTAAACACTGTTTCACTCTTACTGACAAAGATAGAAATAAGTAAATGAACCCGACATGAACAATATCATTCCATGATTATAAAGCAGGTTTAGATCATTTAGAATAAATCTTGCTCCTTCATACCACAAATGGGACTACAGTTTATTTGCACAGATCTTCCATTATATACCTTTACGCAGAAAAAGCAGCAGCATTTTTTAAATTCTTAATAAAGTACCATGAACATGCATCATATATATATATATGTATGTATATTGTCAAACCCCAGGTTATTCTGGCTAAACTGGAGAAGAGGAAAAGAATTCACAACCACTGATCAAATATATTGTCAGCATGAATTTATTTCACAACTCTTCTATGGTAGGTGACAGGAATAATTTTACTCATTTCACAAACTGAGCAAAAACAGGTTACTCAGAGTAATGGGGAAAGTTTGTGGGCTAATCAGGACTACTTACTTCTAGAACAGGTTTTTATTTTGTTTTGATTTTTTCACTCTGAGTCTTCATAGCTAATCACAAAGGAGTGCCCTGGTTTTGACCCTGGTTATCCCAGGCCTTCTCTGACCTTCTCTGTCTTTCCAGTTCTCCCACAAAAGATGGTCTTCAGGCTGGGAAACAGGGATGTTTTAATCACTCACTAAGTGCAATGGCTTACTTCATATGGCTCTTCTACCCACAGTCTTTGTAACTCTCACCAAACAACTTTTTTAATGACGTGTTTGGGTAAGACAAGGTGGGGAAAGATGCTGATCGGATTGTATGATTCAGTTGTGAGTGGCTGTTAGCAGTGTTAACGGTGATTGCAAAAACCCAGAACCTTAATCTGAGTATAAAATGAGCCATCTCAGAAGCAAAGAGGGGAATTGGGGGGAGGGTCTCATTAGGATCAAGAAAGAATGTATCCTTTGAACCCTGAGATCCCTATGCATTGAGCCTCCTTGACATAAGGACAGAAAGTTGTGACACTAAAGGACAGGCAAAGGAGCAGCAGAAGAAGAACCAAGAGGCAGAGCACCAGAGCAGTGGCCTTCCCAGTCCATGAAGCAAGTAAAACTGAGTACCTTTGGGCAGCAGGCTCACTTGCAAAGAAGGGTACATTGCCAGGCACTTAATTGGAGAGGTAGGTCTGTTGGCCAACAGAGCTAAAGCTTTGTGGCTGAGGCTTATAGCAGCCCTAAAAGAGCTTTGTAACATGGCTGGAGCAGGGCAAGGGCCAAGCCAAGGGACCAAGGACCAGAGAAAGTCCTGCCTGTAGGCATTTCTGAGGAAAGACTGTCCTGACTGGAAGAACTGTTCCCTGAGCCTTTGTGACCCTGAATTGTAACGTGTTAATTCCCTAATAAGCCCTATATCTGTGAGTACAGTGCTTGAGTTCTGTGTGATCAGTGCAGTGAATTATGGAACACAGCTGAGTAGAGAGCACTTTGGGAGGGACATTTGGTGTCAGATTTGGTAGAGAAGGTAAAGGTTGAGTGCACATCTGACCTCAGCCTCATATGAATCAGCCTGGGCTGGTAGTGATGATGGTGATTCTCCTTCCCCCTGGTGAAGTAAGATGAGATCAGACATGTGCCTCCATGCCTTTTTACACTCACTTTTTAGGTTCTGCAAGAATCCTCAGCCCTTGGAAACTCTTTTTTTCAGACCAACCCCAATTGTAGGTTCAACTCAAGTTTCTAAAATGAATCCTAAATATAGGCAGGAGCATTTTAAAGACTTGAGATCAATAATCTAGTATTCTCTGTCTCCTGGACTCTCTACTTCATGTCTCAACCACATGATGAATGCTTGGCTGGAATTGCAGTTGATTTTCAATGGCTATATTACTCATGTACTGTGATCTGCTTGCCTGGCTGGATTGCATTAATTCATAATAGTCTATAGTCTATGTGCCACACTCAAAATGAATTACAACTGTTGCAATCAAGGGATCAAAATCTAGAATCAAAAGGAAAAAAGTTATGTCAGCAAATCATTATAACAGAGGTAAGGTTATATGTAACAGTAAACATCATCCTGGAAGTATATATAAAACACTAAGAGCAAAGGAAGGAGTTACAGAAATGGTGGCATTGAAACAGAGTAGTATAAGAAAGAATTTTATAGACTGAATGAAAGGGACGAGCATTTTAGACAGTTGAAATACATACAAAGATAAAATTTCATTTTCAATGGTATATTGACAAACATGGTGAGTTGGTGTGATAGAGGAACACATGGAGTATCAGAGCCAGGTGAGGAGTGGGCCAGCCAGCATCTTCCAGGTGCCAAAGGACACTTAGACAATGCTAGAACTATAATAAAATAGAGACATTGTAATTTCTAGGCTTCTAAGAAAGGTAAAAGGAGCAGTTGTTAAATCAGAGCGGAATTGTCTAGGATAACAGAGAAGGGACTGAGAGTTACCAACAAGAGTTCCTCTGTCCTTCCCTCAATGATGGGCTCTCTTTCCTCTCTTCCTTCTTCTCTCTCCCTTCTCCCTCTGTCACTCTCTCTACCTCGCCCAACTCTCTCGTTCTCTCTCTCTCTCTCTTGTAGATATTAAAAACAAAATTAAGTACCCAAATATTTCATGGGTACATAATTATGTTCACTCAGCCCTGAAGAGTACTAAGAAACTATGGTAAAATAATAATGGTAGTTCTTGGTCTTGTCCACATGTGCTTTCATTTGTATTGTTATTAGAGTGCTGTCAAGTGGGTTCTGACTCATAGCGACCCTGTATAGGGTTTCCAAGGAGCAAATAGTGGATTTGCACTGCTTACCTGTGGTTCAAAATCCAGTGCTGATCCTAGAACCCTACACTAAGATTAACTCCTAATAATCTGTATTCAATTCAAAAACTACCCTATGAGATAGGTAGTATTATCACCTCCATTTTCAGATAAAAACCGTGAAACACATAGAAGTGAATAGCTTTCCAAAGTTCACACAGTACATGTTGTTGTTGTTGTTGTTGTTGTTGTTGTTGTTGTTAGGTGCCATCGAGTCAATACCGACTTAGCACAACCCTGTGCACAACAGAACAAAACACTACCCGGTCCTGGGCCAACCACAAAATTGTTGCCACTGATACTGCATAGAGCCAAAATATGAACCAAAGTGGCTGGTTCCAGAGTTACTACTTTTAATGATCATACTGTTCTGTCATATTGAGCTTTTATAATAATTATTATTATTTTACCCTCTAGTTAGTGGGAGCAGGCAAGATTTTAAAGCAGTAGGGCAATAAGTTAAGTTTTTAAGAGATCACTGTCGGAGAATTCTAGAACACTGAACAGAGTTAGCAGAAACCAGACCTGAACAAGACTAGGAGGCCAAGAGACAAGACTAGTTAGAGCAAGAGATGATAGAAGTTTGAATGAATATACTGAAAAGGGTTTTTAGAGGTGGTGAAGACTGAAAAGGATTCAGAGAGGTCAAGGCACAGAAATTTGGTAACTAATTGTAGATGAGTCATGACAGAATTGGAAAGAGAAGTGTTGCTAGTTTTAATGACTAAGTCAATGAGAAAATAATTAATTCTAAAGAGAAATGCTGAACTTAAATCGCTATGTGTCAACAAACAAAGAGACCCAGTGAGTAAGTAAATAAGAGAACTATAAGTCCAAGGAAGGTACGGAGCTAGAAAATCTGAAAGATCTTCTAAATAAATGACATGGAAGACATAGGAGAAAGAAAAAGATCTCAGATGGGACCACAAGGAATGCCAGCATTTAACAAAGGCAGAAGAAGCCAGGTAAGAAACTTGTTAATAATTAGAAGGGCAAGAGAAGAACTAGGAGAAAGTTGTACAAAGCAAGGAAGGAGGAAGTTCAAGAAAAGAGAAAGATCAACAGTGTGCAATGCTGTAGAAACAAGTAGGTAAGAGCTGATAAAGACTTCTGGGAGGTCCATGGTGACTTTCTAAGACACACCAATCTAGGTACCCCTTTGTTCCCCCCATCACTGATTCTAACTCCAAATATCCCTACCCAGTCCATTCTAAGGCAGGCCTAATTTCAGGGCTCCAACCTTCCAGTTTTGACTTTCACAGTCATAGTTAACTATCCCATGTAAGCTTTCACATTACTCCTATGCTCTTCATTATGATAAATATATTAGAATCTATTTCCTTCAGCTACAGGAGGGAACCCAAGAAAACTATACATATTCTCTACCTTTGTGTTTTGATCCACAATTTTCTTCAGGTTTTTCAACAGATGATTATTTGGACCACCTTCTTTCTCATTCACATAAACTATTCTATCCAGGTCAGGAAAGTTCCGGTTTAGATCTATTCCCTGGGCATTGCTCCGACCCACAAACCAGTCCTTGAGTTCACCAGGCTGAAAAACCAAAGCGAAAAATCATCAATTATTTACTATTATTGTCACTGCCAGAAATATCCATTAATGATTTTGAAAGTAATTTATTAAGATTAATTATTTCAGTAATATCCTCCCATAATGGCATTTTCACTATTTTATCAATACAAACATGAAGATATCAGACATAAGTATCTTATGGGTATTTAGAGAATATTAAATGAATAGTATTTTAAATATTAATGTTAATAAATTATAATTTAAATATTATGCATTAAAATTAAATTAATGATAAAATAATCTTTTAAATGCATCAGTTAGCAAATTACAAAAAGAAGTCAGTGTATAGTAACTAATAATAAATGACCTGTTTCAAAACATGTCTTTCTATAATTAGGTTTAAGTAAAATATTAGTTGTCTCTATAAGCCAGCAAACTATTTTAAAGAAATATTGAAAGGAATAAATTACTAAATAAGTTTACAAACTAAAGCTTAATATCAGTTATTTGCACACTAATAACATACCTCTCTTTTATAGTTTTCATGAAACAATATGAGCTCTACAGCAAAAGTTCTAGGGTTTTATAATCTGATGAATTTCTGTTCCATTTAAACCCTTCATTTTACTAATGGGATAGCTTAGAAAAAGACAGACTTCTAAGATCTTTAGTTATGTTTTCATAACTGGATTTTCTTGGGGCTTTTTGGTATCAAATTATCCTAACTCTATAAGATTTATTTAAAGATAATTCCCATGTTTTAGGTCAAGTAAACTCATACATCTGAATCTGTGAGGGCCAAAATCTAATAAAACAGAAGATAGGGATGATAACCTATTTTCCATTCCATAAAGTATAAAAGAATTCTGTATGTCACTAGAATTTCTGTCTCATAACTTTAGACATTGCATCCATGAATAGCTATTGACATAGGTATACAAGTGGTGTCACTGTGGGTTAATGCGCTGGACTGCAAAGTCAGTTCGAATCGCAAGGTCAGTGGTTCAAGCTCACCAGCTGCTCCTGGGAAACCCTATACAGTGTCGCTATGGGTTGGAACCAACTGGACAGCAATAAACAATAACAACATACCTATTTATGGTAGCGTGGTGGATGTAGAGGCTAAGTACTGGACTACTAACCAAGGTCAGTAGTTGGAGCCCACCAGAGCTTCACAGGAGAAAGATAAGGCTCTCTGCTCCCGCAAAGATTAACAGCCTCAGAAACCCTATACTGGGTTGCTATGATTCAGAATCAACTCAAAGCACTTGACAACAAATATACTTTCTGGGTTTCTTATGTCAAATTATAGATTACTGGATGCTTTATTTTTAAGGAAAAATTAACTTCTGAACTATAGATAAACATTAATTATTGACTTTAATAGTTTGTCATAAAATAAAATTATTTCAAACTAGAAAGCAACATCCCTGGTTCACTCAAAAGTGAAAGGGAATACACACCACATATCTTCTCTAAAAATTACAGGTACTGTAACAATTAAGATGTATTAAATTACTTTTAGCTAGGAGGTAAATCCTTACATTACTCCTGATACAGATATCGCTGTGGAGTTTTTTCAGTGAGCTTTATGCCACTTTGCTTTTATGAAAAACCGGCATTACTAGCTGTTTTGGCAAAACCAAAAAACTTCTGAAGCGGTTAAGTTGAAAAGTGAAACTAGAGTTCTGTGTTTGCTTTGCAGCTACCTGCTTAATATACAGCAAAAATGGCTTTACCAAGCTCCTTGCCAAAGAACTTCACTGCTTTTCTACTTTATATAGGCTGTTTTTACTGTCTGTTGTTGTTAAGTACCATCGAGTTGGTTCCGACTCGCAATGACCTTTTTATGGGTTATTTGTCATGATTTGATGGGTTATTTGGGGGATCTGGGAACATGCAAAAGTTAAATTTGACAGCAATGGGTTTGTATTTTGCTTTGTTTTTTTAATTAATGGTAATTGCTTCTTCTTTTTACATGATTTCATCATACAAAAGGTTTCATAAGAACTCTCTTCTTGAGAGCAGCCTATACATATATTCAAGGATTATACCTCAGTCTTTATGGGAGAAGAAAGTGTCATCTTTTTCTTGCAAAGTGGCTGGTGAGTTTGAACTGCCCACCTTGTGATTAGCAGTCCAGTGCTTTACCTATAGTGAGGCAGCAGCATTCCCAAAACGTAACAAGGCCACAAGTCTTTCTTCTTTAAATACAGTAGAGGGCGCTATGACACTGAAACATTTAGATATGTCATTACCCTTTAATGCATGATTGTTTTGCAAACATTTTGATTTTTGAGGAAATTTTACCTTGTTAAAAACCTGGTTGAAAACAGTATTATCTATTTAGCAACACACACAGCATATTAATAAACTATTGATTTATTAATATAAATTCTCATTCACAATCTGACCCATCATCCCTAACGGTCTGAAAGGGTTTCTACCAATAAGCTGAATAATGTGTTACATATACTCTCCAGTGCTTTTATGTCATTTCCAATCCTTCACTGTAAACTATGTCTGTAAACATTGTAATGAATGCATTAATTGAAGATGAGCGCTATATACAAACATTGGAACAAATGAAGAAAGCATGTCCTGGTCTTCCAACCTGGCTTGTACTCACCTGGGATGCTGCTTTCTCAAAGCCATCAGGGTTCAGGGAAGGCATGATGTGGATCCGAGTGTTGTGGATCAGGTTGACAATGGTCTCATTCCCTTTTTGGTACTCATTGCACAGGTACTGGGCCAAAAATATGAGCAGTTCTCGTCCAACTGCTTCATTACCATGCATATTCCCAATGTACTTAAATTCAGGCTCACCTGAAAGACCAAAAATACATAGTATGGATAGATTTTCTATAATACCTAAGAGGAGAGATTTTCTATAATACCGAAGAAAAATAAAATGAGATACTATCATTTATTACAGAGTTAACATGCTGAAAGGTTGGAGCTTCTGATCCATTCAGAGGCACCCCAGAATAAAGGTCTGGCGACCTACTTCTGAGAAATCAGCCACTGAACACTCTATGGAACACAGTTCTACTCTTATATCGGGTCACCATATGTTGAAACCCACTTCATGTTTTGTTATCTGTGCATAGCTAGAGATTTCTTTTCCCTCTAGAAGCAATGCCTAAGAACTCTGACTTACTAGGGAAAGTCCAAAAAATATTACTACTAAGTCCCAGTTCATACATGGGTTTATTCCAGACAAATTGTGTTTGAATATGTCTTTGTGATCAGTGGACAGCTGCGGGAAAGTCCTCTCAGAAATATTCTTGTTTTAGTTTCATTGGGGTACCTTAAAAAAAAAGGTGCAATTTATACTAAACAGTTAAATTCAAAACAGAGGTCATGCCAGAAAGCTGTAACAACTGTTTTTTGGGGACTCCAAAGGGGTCATCTTGACAGATGTTTCAAGAAAATAGGATGATCACAGGGGCTTATTAAAAGAAGTTTTAAGAAAATGGAAAACTGCATTGGTAAGAAATAGGTCTGGAAGTTTTCACTAAAGAATATTTCCCATCACTACAATGCATCTGCTTATTCTTTGAGGATGACCAGGGCTGTCTATGAGAATTTCATTGGGAAATTTTACCCTATGCACTCCAAAACCCTGATCTTGCCCTTCCAACTTCTTTTTGTTCTCAGAACTCAAAGGACACTGAAAAGGAAGACAATTTGAATCCACTGAGGATGCCAAAATTGCCATTTTGACATGGTGTAAATTGAAGAGTGAACAATTCTTTGGAGAAGGGTGATAGTCGTTGCTAAGTGCTGTTGAATCAATTCCAACTCATAGGTTTTCTGAGGCTGTAAATTTTTA